TGCCCAGCAAAAAAAAAAAAAAAAAAACCTTTTTAAAAGACATGTAAACAGAAGAACTGCTCCATGCTGAACTTTCCGTGTCCAGGGGGACTGGGGACACCAGGCTGCATGCCGACTGTGACTTCCTCAAGGAAGCTGCCCAGAGTTCTGCTCAGTGTGATTAATGCCCAGAAAGAGCAAGGTAGTGGTGGCACATGCCATTACATTAATCCCAGCACTCAGGAGGCAGAGGCAGCAGGATCTCTGTGAGTTCAAGACCAGCCTGATCTACAAGAGGGAGTTCCAGGACAGCCTCCAAGGCCACAGAGAAACCCTGTCTCAAAAAAATTAAAAATAAATAAAAATAAAACCCAGAAACAAGGGCTTGCTGGGTCAAGAGCTAGCCCAAAGGATGAGTGTAAGCCAGGGACACTCATGTCCAGCTGGACTCAGGAATCCATGACCCAGCCACCCACCAGAAGACACACCATTGTTTCCTCACTGTAATATTTCCTTCCTCATAGTCATTCATGGTTTAACTAACGTGTGCCTTCTTGCTCAGCAACCTCCAGGAGTCCCTCTGTCCCTAGCCACTAGAAACTTGTTTCTGAGGTCGTCTGTCCTCAGAAAGGAACAAAGAGACTGTGGTGTGTGTCCTCCTCCAGAATACACTACAGTCTTTCCTCCTTAATTTCTATATCTATATGTATGTTTTTGTTAATGTCTCCTACTAATAAAAATGATGGAGAAAGAGACTGTATCAAAGAGATGAGGCCCCCTAGTCCAGGGAAAGAAAGGTCTCCTGATGTGCTGGACCATTTTTATGTCTTGGCACAAGCTAGAATCACTGGAGAAGATGGAGCCTCAATTGAGAAAATGCCTCCATGATATCCGGCTGTGGGCGAGCCTGTATGGCATTTTCTTAATTAGTGATTGATGGGGGATGGCCCATCTTATTGGGGGTGGTGCCATTTCTGGGCTGGTGGTCCTGGGTTCTACAAGAAAGCAGGATGAGTGTCTGGAAAAATGGCTCAGCAGATAAGAGCATTGGTGGCTCTTCCAGAGGACCCAGGTTCAATTCCCATCACTTACTTGGCAGCTCACAACTGTCTGTAACTCCGGTTCCAGGGATCCAATGCTCTCACACAGACACACACACACACGCAAAACACCAATGCACATAAAATTTTTAAAAAGAAAAGAAACTTTAAAGAAGAAAACAAAACATTTTAAGAAGAAAGAAAGGAAGAAATCAGGCTGAGCAAGCCATGGTGAGCAAGCACCCTTCCGTGGCCTCTGCATCAGCTCCTGCCTCTAGGTTCCTGCCTTGCTTGAGTTCCTGTCCTGGTTTCCTTCAGCAATGGACTGGGATGTGGAAGCGTGAGCTGAATAAACCCTATCTTCCCCAGTTTGTTTTGGTCTTGGTGTTTCATCACAGCAATAATAACCCTGACTAAGACACCCAGTGAGAGCTGGTTGGCTGGGTTGCCATTGTGAACCTTCTATGAACCACCTCCAGTCTGTTCCATAGCCTATGACCATCTTTGCTTATGTCTAGTAGGAAAAGATAGCATGTCTTCTAATGGACTTTCCACTATGTCCACCATGGACAGCAGTGCATACATGATGTCTTCTGACTTGCACAACAGGTGAGTCCTGAGGTCCTTTCTCCTTCCTCTACACAGGTCCCTCCTACGGGGATGCCAGGCCCATCTTCTGTCACCAGATGCCAATGATTGTCATAGCCAAGGCCACCTCTGTCCCTGGTACTTCCCACCCACCATGGTCCCATTCCAGCCCCACCAGAAAACTGCTCTGTAGAGCTGTCCATGACTACCCAGTCCTGGTGGCATTGTGGCAGCCAAGAGGAGAGACGTTCCCACAGGGTCCCAGTCTCATCATGGAAGCAGGGCAGGGAGAGAGATTTGCCAACTTGGAGCCAATGTGAGGACAGAGTAAGCAAACACAACCCAGATATGGAGAACTCTAGGTTTCTGCTGAGATGAGGGAGACTACGGGAAAGGAGAACCCCAGAAGACGAAATTAGGACAGAGGGACAGGCCACACACTGAGGAGCCCTCATGGTTGGGGTGGACCTTGGGGAAGTTCCCTGGGGGATCTTCCAAGTTGGATGTGGGCCTTCAGTTTCAGCCTGTGATGAGCTGGTTATTGACTTCCCAGTGTTGTTGGGGTGGGGCAGAATGGGCGCAAAGGCAAGGGACCCTGATGGCTGTGTCTTCCTCACAGGACCCACTACATACTCCTGATGTTTGTGAAGGTGCCTGTCTTGCTCATCTTGGCTGGTGTTGTCCTCTGGCTAAAGGGGTCAACTCAGAAGGTCTCTGAGGAACAGTGGAAACATACCCTCTGCAGCAATTTGGACTCTGAACTTCTGATCAAAGACATTGCTCCTTAGACTGATTTGTAAGCAGAGCTTTCCCGTGCTGGACTCTCACTCCAGAGACCACACCATGGAAGAAACATCTTTAAGTCCTCAATGGGGAGTGACTGAGGCTGGTGCCCAGAGGGCTTGGCGGGGCACGATCTCCACTCTGCACACCATGGGGCCGCTGCTCAGCACTCTCCCCCCTGAGGCGTCATCAGACCTGAAGTACCAATATGTCGCTCCCCCATACATCCTCACCTGCCCTATCCCATCTACCCACCATGGTCAGCCCTGGGTGAGAACTGCTGGAATGGAGCCCAAGCTGCAGAAAGACAGCTGTGTGTCCCCTGCTGAAAAAGCTCGTGCAGAGCCTGAGACAAAAGCACGAAGAAGCAGAAGGGCATGCTAGATCTCTATGCTGTGACTCTGTCAAAGAGAGCTCAGGGAGGGTGGAACAGGCAGACGTCCATCCCCTGTCTGTCCTGGACACTGAGCCCACCCCTAGCATGCACTTCTGAGGAAAGGTGAGGGGTAAAACCTGGCTGACAGGCCCAGGGTCTGGAGTGTAGAGAACTCAGACATCCATGACTTGGCCATGGGAGCTGGGGCTACATTTCCCAGCAGGTGTGTTTTGCTCCAGGGCCAGGGGCAGAAGGCCACACACCCTTAAACAGAGCTACACAGACTCATGGCATGCTGGTTTTAACCAAAGGTTAGCCAGGGAGAGTAGCAGAGAGAGCCATGCATCTCTTGATCTGATTCTCCCCATGGCCTGCACTGCAACATCCGCTCTGCAGAGGAAGTCTGGGTTATGGTAGCTCGTCAGAGTCACTGCCAACAGCACTAGCCAGGAAGGTGGAGACAGTGAGAATTGTCCCTTATCGTAGGGTTCTTCTGCTTTTAACTGTGGTGGGGGTGGAAAGCCTAACATGCCTTTTTCATGAAGTTTCCAACACACAGCACAGAACTGGCATGCACATTGCAAAGGCAGCAAATCTCTAGAACATTCAGACTCAGACTCTAAGCCCCACTGGGCAAAACCTCCACCCCACGAGGCCCTGGCTCATTTCACTCCCCCCCCCAAGAATTTTGCTAATGCACCTGGGTGGAACCATGAAGCGTTTGCTGTTCTGGGGTTGCTTTATTTTAGTTAGCATCAGGTCCTCAAGGATCCTCCATCTTCTAGCAGATGACAGAACTCCATTGTGGTAAATGCTGAGTAATATCCCACAGTGGGGATATGCGACTTGTTCACCAATAGACCCTTTGGCTGTTGTTACCTTGGCCTTTGTGGACAATGAGTCTGGGCGTGTTGGTATCGAGCTGAGATGCTGTCTTCAGTTTTCTTGGATATGGTCCTGATGGTTAATCTTGACTGTCGATTTGGCTGTGAGACACGCCTCTCAGCTTTTCTATGAATGCGCTTCCAAGGAGGTTTAACTGGGGAGAGATGGCCCACCCTGGCGTGGGCACTCACCGTCCCATAGCCTGGGGTCTCAGATGGAATAAAAATGAGGAAGGGTAGAAATCTCTCTCTCTCTCTCCTTCCCGAGGATGAAGTGTGGCTACGCAGCTCATGATCTGGCCACTACAGCTGCATCTACTCCTGCCGCCATGCCCTCCCCAACATGATGGACTGTAGCCCTTCAAACTGTGAGCCAAAATAAATCCTCATTCCCTCAAGTTGTTGTCGTCACGAATTTGTCACAGCATTGAGACAAGCAGCTAGCATGTGTACCCAAGAGTACTATTGCTGGGCCATGTGGCAATGCTCTTTGTCATTTTTTTGAATGATCTCTAGATCATTTTCCATAATGGCTGCACTATTTTAAGTTCCCACCAATAGGATGTAAACATCCCAATTTCTCCATATCCTTCATCTGCATTCATTGTCTTTTGTCTGCTTATTTTTTGTTTTGTTTTGTTTTTTGCAGATTTTTTTATTTGAATTAGAAACAAAATTGTTTTACATATCAATCCCAGTTCCCTCTCCCTCCCCTCCTCCTGTACCACCCCCCCCACTAAAACCCTACCTATCACATATCCTTTCTGCTCCCCAGGGAGGGTGAGGCCTTCCATATCCTTTGGGATAGGGCCTAGGCCCACCCCTCCTCCCCCGTGTGTCTTGGCTCAGGGAGTATCCCTCTATGTGGAATGGGCTCCAAAAGTCCACACCTATGCTAGGGATAAGTACTGATCTACTACAGGAGGCCCCCTAGATTTCTGAGGTCTCCTCACTGACACCCACATTCCTGGCGTCTGGATCAGTCCCATGCTGGTTTCCCAGATATCAGTCTGGGGACCAAGAGCTCCCTGTTGCTCAGGTCAGCTGTTTCTGTGGGTTTCACCAGCCTGGTCTGGACCCCTTTGCTCATCACTCATCCTTCTCTGCAATTGGATTCCAGTTCAGTTCAGTGATTAGTTGTGGGTGTCTGCTTCTACTTCCACCAGCTGCTGGATGAAGGCTATATATAGGATGGCATATTGAAGGGACCAGCTGCCCCTTTCAGCAGCCATAACAGCCGAATTCGCACTTGTCTGACCTTGTCTTAGTCACTAAGAGATCAGACACCTGCCTCGTGGCAAGGAACCAATCAGAAGTTAGCTGGTGGTGCTATGCTTTATGGCTCTGGGTGTGCTTTACGGACAAGTGCACAGCAATCACGTGCAGAGCATAGCAACCACCCAGGAAGGGCCTATGGGCCATAACAACCAGTTGACCAATCAACACAGGGCAAACCTTCCAAGCCTGGAGGCACACCAATCCTGAGCCTGTGCGTACCCCTAGACACTCCCCTTGTGCTGCCCTGTAAGATCTCTATGCAGACTCTTTGAGCTGTCTTTTCTAGCCATCTGCCATGGCGGGTGGATGAGAGACCCGAGCTAACATGGGGGTAGCTCGTTAAACCACAATAAAGCCTCATGCAGTTTGCATCAAGTTTCTGCCTCCGCATGGTGATTGGGGTGGCCGCTGTTCTGGGCTGAGATCCTGGAGGCCTGAGCTTCTGGGGGTCTTGCAATATAAGTCAGTCATCAATCTCATTATCGGGGAAGAGCATTTAAGGTTGCTTAGATTGTTAGTTGGTGTCATCTTTGTAGATCTCCAGACATTTACCTAGTGCCTGATTTCTCTGTTCACCTAAAATGTCTCCCTCTATTATGGTATCTCCTTTCTTGTTTTCTTCTATTCTTCCCCCGACTCAACCTTTCTGCTCCCTCATGTCCTCCTTACCCCTCCTCTTCTCCCTTCTCATTCTCCTAGCTCCTCCCAGCCCCCATGCTCCCAATTTGTTCAGGAGATCTTGTCCCTTTCCCCTTCTC